ATAGGGCTGATTAGCCACACCAAACGCTGTCCTCGGCCACAGCACCAGACCTAGAGTGCTACCATCATCTTTCGAGATGGAAGGATGCCTATAATATATGAAGATAGAGATTTGCTCCTTTTTCTATCCTTCGCAGCTACCGTGAGACGGCCGCCCGCCTGTCCCGTCTGCACCGTGACCAGCCCCAGTCACCCATGGAGCGGGCCGTCTGGTGGATAGAACACGTCATCCAACATGGCGGACTGCCCCATCTCCGCGCACGCGCCGTGGAGCTGCCGTGGTACCAGTACTACCTGCTGGACGTGGCTGCGTTCCTGCTGTCCGTCTGTTCAGCTGTCCTGGGGACCGTGTGGTGCGGCTGTTCGCTCGGCTGTAGGAAGTGTTGCGCTAAAGGTGGCGGCAAGCTCGAGTCTCAGTAGACTTCTAGATACACCTCTGATATTATGCAAATAGCACTAAGGGATGAGATAATTTCTTAAACGTGATTCTCTATACATGACAAATAAAGATACAGTGTTACCCAGGACATACCGGTTCAAAACCATGTATAACACGTAAATCTTTGGCGGTCATTAGAACAGAACTCATGTTCCTTTTAGTACCGCCAGCGTCTGTTCATCAGCTATCCTGGGGACCGTGTGGTGCGGCTGTTCGCTCATCTGTAGGAATTTTGCGCTAAACATGGCGGCAAGCTCAAGTCTCAGTAGACTCCTAGATACACCTCTGACATTATGTAAATAGCGCTAGGGGATAAGTTCTTAATCTCTGGAACTATACACGGCAAATAAAGATACAGTGTTACCCAGGACATACCGGTTCAAAACCATGTCAATCACCGGACACATGTGAAAGAACTCATGTATAACACGTAAAGCTTTGGCGGTCATTAGAACAGAACACATGTTCCATTTAGTACCACCAGCGTAGGGACCTAATCTCCCTAGCTGCACAGTCTCTTCGAAAGAAATCTGTTGAAAACACTTTCCAAAAAGAATGCCACATGAATGCAAACTCCGCGGAGCCCTCCTCTGCTGCCTCATTATGAATCCCATCTCCGCGGAGGTCATTCCGCTAACCCCCGTGTCTCCGTCCACCAGACGTGTCGTGGTGTGGAAGAAAGTATCGAGGGTTTCTCGTCGTCTTTCTACGAGCCTTTTTCGGTTCAGATCGTCGGGATTTCATCCTACATTCATCTCAGGTACGTACCAAGAGCTTGTCTACTCTACAGTTATCGATGTGACGGGAGAATAACACGTAAACGTTTGTTTTACGCTCTCTGAGTCTCTCGCTATATAACGTTAGCCGCTAGCGACGAGTGTGCCGCTTGTGAGAAGTTATATACTGCTCGAAAAGCAACGGTTTCTTGTTTGTAAACAAGTTTCTGTCACAAACAACAGAGTTTATATAGAGCAGTACACACACACACACACACGTACGTAAATTTTATTTGGTTTTGTTGTGCCCTTGTAGGAGTAAAATGGCGTAGATCGTTTCCAAATTTGTCTGAGAAAAAGTTGTTGACACCTCGGCGAAGGTCTAAAGGGGGTTACGCGGTCTCCTTAAATATTGGAAATCAAACACGACAACAGAAGTGCTTGCTTTTTGCACAAATATGATACAAACGCCTTTCTATAATCCATAGTTGATTTTACAGACAAAGGGTAATTTTGGGGTTGACATTTGGAAGCTTTTTTTGAGATAGAATATTCTGGAAAGCCCCAAATGTGCCACGTAACGGTCTTCCCGCCCAGACATCTGGTTTGTATCATAGAGAAAAGGGTCAGGAATCAGGGGAGGTTCATTAACCCTCGTACATGTTGCGTTATTGATTGAGGGAGAGTTGGGGATGATACATTAACTATTTAGAAGGAATCTTAGAGGGGATATTTGAGGGTAATGCAGGCTTTCTGATCACATCTTTTTGTTTTCCATTTTCCACAGGATTCCATAGTCCAGTAGTGCTGAAAGGGAAACAGGATTCCATAGTCCAGTAGTGCTGAAAGGGAAAATAGGATTCCTTAGTCCAGTAGTGCTGAAAGGGAAAACAGGTTCCCATAGTCCAGTAGTGCTGAAAGGAAAAACAGGATTCCATAGTCCAGTAGTGCTGAAAGGGAAAACAGGATTCCATAGTCCAGTAGTGCTGAAAGGGAAAACAGGATTCCATAGTCCAGTAGTGCAGCCTGCCTTGCTGAAAGGGAAAACAGTGAGGCTTCACCTGTGTTCTTCCAGACAACATCAGTACTCTGGTGTAGCAGCTCAAGACTTGACTTTTTAAAATATATTTTGCAGGTAAGAGCATATTATTAACTTATCCAAGAAAAGGTTGCATATTTTGTTGCATTTGTATGTACGTGGTTTAGCAGCATATCTCAATAGGCTCTCAGTGGATTGTCATACACACCCCTTCCAAAGCTTGAAAATGGAACGTTCGGTTGGCGCATGCGCGCTGCTGCCCTCCCCGTCAACATGTCCAAAATGGCGACGTTGAAACGCAGTATCGGCCGGTAAAAAGACCTATTGAGAGCGCAATTTCTTGACTCAAAAAATAACATGAGGAACATACAAATAAAACTGTGTGGTAAAGACAGTCTTGACTCTCGTGTGCATTTATTAGTTCAGCAAAACACGCCATAGTTTTCTTGAAATCGGCTAAGGTGCAGAGGTTGAGTACGCAGTGACAACGTTGGAACTTTACTTCCGGAATCGCCAGGGGTCGTTGTTGCAGGTCATCCTGAGGGCAAACAGCACGTCCGGAAACTATTTTTACTCCCCCCGGAAAGTTACGATCTGTGACAACTAAAATATGGCTGCCCAAAGCGAAATTCAGCTGCCCACTTGTAAAAAAATAAGTTTCTTACTGCACGCACCTCCTTTCACGTAATACTGGCA